CAAACACCCATACATAAACACTGAGTCGAACTAGAATCCAGATGCAGTCAGAGAGGACAAGACCAGAAATACATAGAGACAGCTGACCCTAACAAGGAGGAGCTAACGGGTCCCCAGACTGATAGCTGGGAAGCCAGCATGGGACTGACTCCGGCCCCCCTGAATATGGGTCTCAGCCAGAAGGACTGAACAGTCTAAGGGACCTCAGACAGTGGAACTAGGATGTATCCCTGATGCACAAAAGGTCCTTGCAAACACATTCCCCCATGGATGGATACTGCCTTGACCTAGAGACAGGAGAGAAGTCCTAGTCCCTACTTCAAATGACCTGATAGATCTACATGACCCCACTTGGATGGCATTGCCCTACATGTGGAATTGGGGTGTGGGGATGGGAGGGGAGTGTGGTCAGGGTGCATGTGATGGGGCAGAGAGGTTAAAGGGAGGGAGGGGGAGGGAAGGAGAGGGAACTGGAATCGACATGTAAAATAATAAATTAAATAAAAAAATACTCAATAAAACACTCAAAAACCAAAAAAAAAAAAAAAAAAAAATCTACCAAATTCAGTGGGACACACACACACACACACACACACACACACACACACACACCTCTACAAGAATGTAGGAAAGGAGATATTGGAAGGCAGCTGAGGAATAAGAGATAGTAATGGTGGTGAATGTGATCCCCAAAATACATTATAGACATACATGAAGTTGTGAGGGAATAACTATATAGAAGAAATCCCAAAAGATAGAAATTTCAGTTAAAACAAAGAACAACAAAAATCAAATGAAGAATGTCCAGCAAAGAGATTTTCTTTTGCCGGGGTGTCTATACACTTCCTCTCCAACTAGCTAATGCTATTTTTCCCCACACCCATTACTTCACTACTCCCGAAGCTCCAGTAGAAAGGTTCTAGGTCCAGCTTATCTTGTGAAAAAGCTCTTATAAGGCCAGCTTAGGTCATTTTGCATATTCCCAACATTCCAAATACTTGTAGAAGCTTTTGTACATTTTAGTGTCCCCTGAACACTACTGCACTAATTGACAGGCTCTTTGGAAATGGGATATTTAGTAGTTTAGAGCAATTCATTCCTCATCGACCTCACAAGCTTTTGTCTTCTGATTCTGCAGGTCTGTAATGCACAACCTTGGGTGGTCTTAGTCACAGGTCCAGTGCTTGGTTCATTGTCAGAATGGATGATAAGAAGGGTATAGTTGGCAAAGTCTCACATAAGCCAGGAGGCCAACCAGTAACCAGTCCAGACCTTGAATACATGCTCCATTGCACCAGCAACACCAAAGCTTCTATTTGCTTTTTTCAAACTATTGTACCCACTCAAGATATCCAACTCAGAGGTGCTGTGAGAGGACAACTACCAATGAAGGCTGCATTGAAAGGAAGAAAATCGAGGGTGGCCATTTTTATGCAATTTTCTCATTGGCTAGTTAAACAAACACAGTTGGCCCTCATCATTCACAGAGTCCATACACATTTGTAGATTTATTCACTTGCTGATGTATTTGTAATCCTAAAACTGACACTCCAGAATTCTGGTGGTGATACACAGATAGGCACAAAATTGGGGAAACTGAGTTGCCTAACAGGCATGCCCCCCCACTAAAATGGCACCAGGAAATGTCAGCCATCTATTTCAATTGCCACGGACTAGATCTTCCTTGCAGTTTACTTACTGCCAGAGTTGGTTTAAAATGCCCGGAGTGGACTGCTGAGCTGCTGTTCTGTGTTCCTAAGCATGGAAAGTCATGACACATGGAAGCTTTGTTCCAATGTGAGTGATAGTGCTGTTGGCTACGAGTTCAGAGTTACTGAATCAACAATATTGTTCAAGGAGGAGGGAGGGCACTACAGAGGGAAAAGGAGGGGAGAAGAATAAATAACATTAAGGATGTTGGAAAATGTCATAAAGAATAACATTTACTTAGAATGACATATATGTGTATATGCAAGTTACATAAATATATATAATAGCTATGAATGTATATATACATAAGTAATATATATCTTTAATTGAAGTTATAACACTTAGGGTGACAATGTCCAACCCAAACCATAAACTTTCTAATAAAATTGCTAGTGCCAAGAATGAGAAGCTTTCCAAGTTGCTGGTCAAGGCAATTTAAGAGAGACCCAAAATTGTATAAGCTATTGCAGTTGACCTTGGTTGCCTACCACAATAAAGGATAAGACCATATTACAGAAAACATTACATATTTTGGACATAGGACTTGGAGGAATCCAGAGGAAACTGACTTAGGAGCCTCCTCCCTTAGTTCGGGCTCTCACAGGAGCAGAAGGGGTTATCCACACTGCCAATGGAAAAAAGCAATCAATAGTCCTACCCAGCTGTAATACCTATGAATCACAATGATGATCAGAGTGGCAATATATTCCCAAAAGATGTAATACCAGCACTTATATCTTAGTGTAACCAGTAGCCACATAATTAAATTTAAAGGCCCTCTTAATGGGAGGGAATTCATGTCTTACACTGTAAAACTAGCCAACTAGCCATGGCTGGTAAGGCCATGGAACTTGGAGGAAAAGCTACTACTGCCGTTTTTCTAAACCAGTACAATCTCTAATTGCACTCTAAGTACTTATCTGTTTACCCACAGATAAATGTAGCTCTCACCCTTCATCAAAGAAGCATCTCTTAACTACCAATAGAGACCATTTCAGAATGTATTATAAACTGGTCAAAATGCAGAGAACAACTGACCATGGGGTATGTCCCCAACTGACAACTTTTACCAACCAACCCCTACACCTGAGGCTCAGTTAGCAACATGGCAGAGGGGGAAGGAAGATTGTAAGACCCAGTGAATGGGAAGGTCTGTGGAAAGGACACAAAACGGAAGCAGGTGGGAAGGGGGTAAGAGAGTATCTGGGAGCAGGTGGGAGGGAGAATGCGGTCAAAATGCATTGCATGGAATTCTAAAAAAATTATTAAAAGTTTTATATTTTAAAAAAAGAAAAGAATATTATGAGACAATAAAAATTGATCAGGCGGACGTAGAAAGAAGTAAATAGAATTAATGTAAATTTAAAAAAAAAATGAGACCTGCAGAGACTGGAATAAACAGTTGACTAGAAAACTGAAGCTAAAATGAGCAAACGCATTAGATCAGAAGACCAGACCTAGGAGTCAATGAGATGAAAAGAAGGCATGGAGGTAGGCTACAAATAAGAATAAAGAAAGAACAAGTATAATACTACTTCTAGCCCCATTCCTGGACTGCTTAAAAAAAAAAAAAAAAAGTCAATTGTCAGAGCCTGGAAGTTTAACAACCTAATTGAGAATATAAAGAAATCTACATCCAATCATATCTTGATGAAATAGTTGGAAAAAGAATAATAGTATGAGCCTAAATAAGAAAATGAAGTACTAGAAATTTTTTTAAAAAAATTAGAAAAACTTCAAAATCACAAATCATTAAAAAAAAGTATTAGATTGAATAGATGCATGATTTAGGATGAAAAACTACTAACAACAATGTTGATAAATATAAGTATCAGCATTAGATTATTATAAAATAAAAGCAAAGGGTTTGAAGAATAAAATTTGAATTATCCACAACTTTTAGAGAAATCGAGCACCAGTTAAAAATTATCTCATAAGAAAATTCCAGGTGTCCACTGTTTTCCAGATGAGTAGGAACAAATAATCTGAATTTTAAACAATCTTCCATAGAGCAGGAAAAACAAAACAAAATCAGCCTACTTCCTAAGGAGGCTGAGTTGACAGGATGACTTGAGCCCAGGAATTCTGAACCAGCCTAGGCAGCCAAGCAAGATTCAGCACAAATAAAAGAATGAACAAATGAACAAACTGTAACAGCTTTGGTACTAAAATCAAGAAAATGTTATTGAGGGAAATTTTAAGCTGACTTTACTCATGTTCACAAATGTGAATATTCTTGACCAAGTATGAGCAAACCAAATCTACAATTAATACACCAAAACTATATAATGAATTTGGGTTTATAAAACTCAGAATTGCAAAATTAGTTTTGTATTAGAAAAAGCATTCACCTAATTCACCACAGGAAACAAATATGCCCAACACCTTTATGATCCATCACCTCAAACACCTTGGGAAGTTGGTGAACAGCCAGGCATGGTAATACTCATGATACCCTGGTGCTAGGATGGCTGGGACACAAGGATCAAGAGTTTAAGGCCAGGCTGGGCAAAACAGTTCTAGATTAATTTAGTTCATAGTGATATCTTTCAGCATGAAATAAAATGAAACTCACTTAAACACGATCAAGTAGAAACCTCAAATCACTAGGTAAGTTTTGTTATAGTCAAATAGACTAGCAGAGACTCTCTAACTCACCTGCATGTACATCTGTGCTTCACTGTTTTAGTGGAAAAGCTTTTTGCTAGGTTTCAGACAGTAGATATTATTTCCTCTCCATGATTTCAACAACGCAAGGCGGAAAATCTTCTATCAGAGACTTAGTTACTTAACTAAACTTTCTCCAGTCCATGCTATTTAAAATGTTCCCAATTCTTCTCAATACTTTGATAAAAAAGTCCCATGTACTCCTTTAATTATCTCCACCCTGAGAATGCTATCCTAATTTTATAAATTTCATGCTCCTCAAATAAACTCAGTGCATTTGTATAAAATGGATTCTAGCAGAGCATTGCAAGCCAGACACATATAGCTACTAAATAGCTGAAACATGGCAAGTGGGAATTAAAATGTGTTAGACAAACGGAATTTCAAAAACTCAGTATGAAAACAAATATCTCACTAATACTGTTTGTACTGATTATATGTTGAAATGAAACTTTGGATATAGGATAGCCAATAAAATATTGAAATTAATCTCACTTACTTTTATTTAAGTTTGTAATATGGCTACTAGTACAAGCACAATTACACATGTCTTTCATTAGTTTCAACTAGACAGTTTTGGTATGCAGCATTAACATAGCATTATTACATTAAAATTTACTCACGGTTTCAAAGATGTGACTTTCATTCCAACAACTAAGTCATCATCTAGTACACGACACCATGTTTGCTCTACAATATGGTCTGATTCTTGAGAATTCTCTGATAACTTTTCCTCAGGGGTATGGATACTGTTTTCATCTTCATCACAGAATGGAACAAGACAGTCCTTAATGACAAATATGTTAAGTAGGTGACTAAAAAATGTACTCAATGAACCAAAGATATATAGGGAGATTAGCTTTGTCGATTTATGACATGAAATAACATGCTCAACCTGAGACCCATAGACCACATATTTCCCAAGGTAGCTACAAATTCAGCCCAATACACTTGCAGATGATTATATCATGTTAAGGTCAAAAGGCTCAACAATGAAGAAGCATTTTAAAATAAATTATAACATGTTATAAAATAAATGATAAAAATAATACAATAAATAAAAAGTTATAAGTTACACATAACTTATGAAAATAAAGTTCATGAGACATTATATATTCAGGTCAAGAATCATGACTAGAAGATTAGTTATCTGACATAGAGCCAGTGGGAACAAAACCTGGATTTTTATAAAGACTGATAATGTATACCACAAGTATAGTGAAACAATCCAATCTGGAATTTGCTCTAAGCTCAAATCTAAACTTCTGTATTAATAAATCTGATTAAATTATATTTCTGATGAAATTTCATTGTTAATTGTCCAGGCCATTCTCATGTCATTACCATAAACATGAGATTATAGCAACAACAGAAACTACAGAATTACAGGAAATAATTGTATTAGTTACTGAATCTTTACTTTTATGTCTAAATAGCATTTATACAGCAATCCACTGAACCCTCACACTAACTACAACATCCTTTGTTGGTTATATTGTTCTCTGTATTTTATAGATAAAACAATTGAGCTACAGAGAGGTTAAGTAACTTGTGTGAAATCACACAGCTACAAAGAAGCAGAGCTGATAATGGCCTCCTTAATCAAATGTTTTTCAATATTATGAAAGTCTATCATTACCCTGTCACTCTTCTTTTTAATCTAGTAAGCAATATTTTCTACTTAATTCTATTCAAATAGCTTTAGATTGCACACTGTCAAATGCTTAAATGATAAAATAGTCACAATTAACTTTACCTCCTCATCACTTGATGTACTATCGACTTTCCCATAAATTGAGTTTAAAAGAACCTTCCAAGAGTTTGCAATAAATTTATCTTTAAATGAGATATGTTCCTGTAATTTGTTAAGAAAAACAATAGAAGCCTGTAAAATAGAAAGAAAAAGTTATCAGAGATACTTTCAAATGACACTGGACATGTCATGTACTTTCTGCAGATAGGCTCTGCAGAGAACACTTTCAGAAAAAAAGTTCTTTTGCTTATAGATTCTGTTTATCTTACAAAAAATAGTACTTTGTGCTCACAGGAAGATACTGAAGTAACTGCTGTGGGGTTTATTCACCAAACTGAGTATACTGATACATTAGTACCCATTTCAATGCTGAGCTAAATAACATGTATCACTATAAATAAAACTGAGGCCTCCCACAGAACAATGCCCACAATCTGTTTTATGGATGTTTTTTTCCTACTAAACTCTATTGACACATACACACAATAATCTACTGAAAACTACTGAAGAAACTAACATTGGCTCAGAACAGGGAATAGAGCAATATATTTATTATATAGCAATGTAATTAGATTCCAGATGTAAGGGTGAAAAAAATATTAGATACATTTTGCTACTAAAAGTGTAAATAGTCTTGTTGAATTGACAAAAACAGTTTCATTTAGACAGACATGTGAAGCTGTTTCAATATTAACCCAGCTTCTATATTTAAAAACCTTTTGAATTCCTTTCTTTTGAATTAAACTTTTTTGTTGTTGTTGCTTTTATCAATGACAAAAAGTTGGAGGAAAATGGAATTATTTCTCTTACCTCATTACCAAAAATTATGTAAAGTGTAGCTACTATTTTGAAACATTTCATGGTGGCCTTATTATACTGGCTTCATGGTACCCATATTCCATTGGTCAAGTACTTGGTTGCTTGTAATTTGGGTGGGAGATGTGTTCATTCAAGGTGGACTGACTGAAAGTGAACCCTCTGAAATTAACACTGGCCTCTGTCAGTTCTCTCTCTCATCATGCCCCCTGTGCTCCAGGACAAAATAGAAATCTCTAGCTGAAAATATTGTGAAGTTTGGTTATTAAACCATAAAACTAAACCAAGCTCACTGTAAGAATCTAGTCAATAAAGTATTCCCATCCTTTTCCTATATACATATTCCTGTAACCAGTAGATGGCTTACCTTTCTAGACATTCCCATGCATGTTAAGGACTATTTTCTTTCATCTGTTTAAAACCAGAAAATTGAACAAAAACCCAATACAGAGACGAACTGCCCTGCTCAACACTGAGCCTAGCTTTAATATTCCTTATGGTGAGTGCTACTACAATGACCCAAATGCCACAATCTGGAAAAGTTTGAAGAATAAAAGTGACGTCCACACCCATAAAAACTTTATTCAAGTACTCAAGGAGCTGCCTGGTAGGCCTAAATAATCACAGGTGTCTTTTTCTATCCAGAAGGCAACCTGACCTGGACTCACCTTCCTTGTTTGTCTTCTGAGTTTACCATTTTTTCCTATATGTTCCTAAGGAGTGTTTTTAGTCTTGTGTGTTTTTTGAACACTTCCTAAATTGAATCATTCTGTGTACATCAGAAGTTAGTACATTTGAAGTTAGTCATGTTGTTATTAATAGAGGTATATTTTTACTTTTCAATGTTCTACAGCACTCCATCCTGTGACCAGTTCACGTCTGTTGATGAGCATTTGTGTTACATCTATTTGTGGGGCACAACAAACAATGATTATCAACATCTTGCTACAAGTTTCTTCAAGGTATGTGTCCTCCATTTTCTTCCCTGCTAACTGTTGATGCAATGGACTCTACTTTTGGCTCTAAGGTACTTACTCTTTCTGGGTTTGCAAATTTCATCATATACAAAATGAGGAGAAGAGGGATGAATAGTTAATCTCTAAAAGACTTCCCTCTTCCAAGATGACCCTGGATTCTGTCAAGTTGACAAAAATCTAATGAGCACAGGGTCTGTGAGGGTATTTACAAAATAATAAGCTAAAGGGGACAAGACCCATTCTGGGTGTGAGGCAGCATCTATCACCCCATAGACTGGGACTATGGAAATCAAAAGGGGCAGGAAGAGTCACAAACAAACTCTCTGCTTTATGGCTACCATGAAATGACTCATGGCCACCATGAGATGGCACACCTGTGCTCCACCATACTCCTACAGTCACAATATTCTGCCTATGTCAAGCCCTAAGCAACTGCAGCTGGCCAGCCAAGAACTGAAGTATCTGAAACTGTGATCCAAAAAAAAAAAAAAAAAAAAAAAAAAAAAATGTCCTTCATCTTCACTTAAGCCAGTGGTTCTCAACCTTCCTAATGCTGTGTGGCCCTTTAATATAGTTTCTCATGTTATGACGACCCCAACCATAAAATTATATCGTTGCCACTTCATAGCTGTAATTTTTCTACTACTCCGAATCATGATGTAAATATTTGATATGTATAATATCTGATATATAACCCCTGAGAAAAAGCTGCATGACTCCCCAAAGGGGTCACATTCCACAGGTTGAGAAACACTGCCTTAGATGTTATGTTAGGAACTTTGTCAGTAATGAAAATTAATGCAGTGCAATACAGCTGGTATATTTAGCCAAAACCAGTAAATCTTTTACAGAGATTTTCATGGTCTGAGAAAGTCTCATCTATGCTGGCTTAGAACTTGGTATGTATTGACTTTAAACTCTTGCTCCATTCAAATGCTGAGGCTATAGGCATATGCCACCATGCCTAGCTTTTGTAGAGATGTTTATTAGTGAAAAATTGAGAGTTGATTGTTACATGTATTTTAATGTGCTATAAGGTATTATATTCACTGCCACACTAAGAAATGCTGTGACATACTGATTCTATAGGTCGGGATCCTTTTAAAACTAGGCTTCTGTTATTTTATTCATATAGCTTGTTAACTCTACTAAATCCTACTTTAAAAAGTTATCATTTCAAGACAATATAGTTACATGTAACATCAAAAGAGTTTGGGTTATAATTTTTTGAGACAGGTCTTGTGTTTCCTAAGCCGTCCTGGAATTGTGAATAGTCAAAGCTAGACTCTAACAACTGGCCTGCCTCAACCTCTCAAGTGATAAAATCAGAGGCTCCACAACATCACACTCATCTTCATATTAATAGTTTTTCACTGAAGTGCCAAAAACATAGAGCTCTCTGAAACACCCCCTTTTTCTTACACACTGAGTTGCTGAATACTGTAAACATGCCTTTTCAATGCTAGTTTACTCAGCTAGAACTTATTAATCAAATCGCAGAAGGAAACAGCAGACAGAGACACTAACTTCTAATTGCGCTTCCAGTGGTGGAAGTACCAAATAGTAATTTTCATGTTCTTCTTCAGCAAAAAGTTCTTCACTGAAATCCAGTGGTTCAGTCTAATAACAGAAAAGATCAAGACAAATTTTGAAAAAAACTGTAAATTTAGAGGATCAAAAAAAATTACAATCACTATTTATCTAAAGGGCAGTTCTTTGTGAAAAACAAATTATGTATTATCAACAACAGGGGATTAGGCAAATATAACTATAGGTCCTACTATTACTACGTAAAATTTGTATACTATAGCATTATTCTCTATAAAACATTAGAGTAAAGAGCAATCATATTCATTTTACAAAAAAAAATTGGAGAGATTCGAATTCTACTTAGATCTGAAATTTTTGGAACATCATTTCTCATATAATAAAGACTTCAAGATTACTTCAACTCTTCGTTAGTTTTTAAAACATTTATTACATTTATTTTTTTTCTTGAATTGGGAGTGTCTCACAGCATGTGTCCTGGCATGTATGTGGGGGACAGAGGACAACCTCTGGAAGTTAGCTTTCTCCTTCCACCATGTAGTTCTAGGCATACAACTCAGGTCATAAGGCCTGGCAACAAAGTACCATTGCCACTAAGCCATTTCACACTCATTTATTTCCTCTCTTAAAAAGTTCCACTTTCTTTTATTCCTTAATTAAGCAATATTTTCTGATACAAAATGGTATTTCAGAAGCAACAATAAAGTTCACTTTGAGCATTACTGTCATTTGAGTGACCCTTAGATATACCACAATACAAGTTTATATGAAAAGTATGGACAATTTATATAATATTTGTTGAAAAGGACAATGTATACATTTAAAGGATACAAACTATATGCTTTAAAGTGTGAAATCATCTAGACGGAGGACTTGGATAGAGATAGAAACTGTTTAGATTGAAAATCAAGCTCTTAAACACTACTTACTGAATAGCTTATTCTGACAAAATCTGTTATTGCAAATGAAGTCAATTGATTTGTGTTCAGAGCATCCTCAAAAATGACCAGTACTTGTTCAGTTCCAATTCCAACAAAGTCATTTATCAGGACTACGCTAAGTTGTTCCCACTTAGCAACAACCTGAAAAAATAGGGTCATTACAGGAGGAATACAGGAAGGAAAAATATGAACCAAGTAGTAAGTCTTTTTGTTTCATGCACTTATAATCTGTTAACTTCATCCTTACAAATGACTGAAGAAAGTTGTAATACAAAAGCTAAAGATAGAGCTACTATACAATCCAAAACCATAAGGAACCATGACAATTTTGTAAGTAGATATTTATGTCATATTTTATTAATGCTTATCTAGAGACTGTCACAGTCCTGATCTCTGTATTTAAATCTTATGATCTATGCACAAATTCACACACTTCTCATCTAAAACTTTGGCAAGCCTAACATTTAGCATTAGTAAAACTCCAGTAAAGATTATTTTGTCTAGTATGGATAATTTAAGGATGATCATATTTCTCATAAACCTCGATGGACATGCTGTTTACAGTTAGACCAATTACCCAAGGAATTCAGTGGCACTGGATAACCGAAAAGTACCAGTACATGTTAGAAGACTTCTCAAAATAGAATAAGCTCAAGATTAATTTAACAGCTTAACTCCAGTGGTGGTGGTACAGGCATTACTATCAAGGGCACAAAGGGAAATGAATGGAACCTTAACAGCAGGAAACCTAGAAGTATTCTACTTAAATAGAAATATCTGTTAAGTTTGTAATAGAATAGGAGACACAGAATTTAAAATAGATTCCTTAAAGATCTATAGAGACAGAATTTAAAATAGATTCCTTAAAGATCCATAGAGCTAAAGGCTTTTAACACAAGTATCAGATCACCTCCTTAATATCGAAGAGCTACACTTCCCACTCAGAATACAAGGATCACAGACTTCAGACTTCTTACGTAGATGACACAGGAAGGTTGCTTATACTTTGGACAGAATGTAAGGTACTTACTTAAATCTACATAACGAAATAACAACCCTGGCCCTACAAGATTAATTCCTAAAGCTGTGATTCTTTACTTTTACAGGGAGGCAGCATATCTGAAACCCCACATGCCTCTCACAATTGTGGGACATAATGAACTACAAGAGAGGAGACACTGGCAATCAAAATTTGCTTAACATGTGTCAACTCATGTTTACGTAGTCACATTGGTGTAGCTTCTCACATTCCTAGGACATGTAAAAATCAAAGAACTATGCATGAATATGAATATACATGCCTATTTGTAATTAATATCTTTTAAGCAGTGCTATTTAATAGAAATACAAGTAAACCAAAAAAAAAAAAAAAAAAAAAAAAAAAAAAAAGGAACACATACATTCAACCTTAAACTTTCAGTAAAAATGTAAAGGTAATATAGTTATCTTTCAATGTAAGTGGAAGATAAGCTCCTAGACCCTCTGTGGACTCAAGACTATGTGGATGTTTAGTATTTGTATATAATATACAGCCAAGGTTGGTGGTGAATGCCTTTAATCCTAGTACTCAGAAGGCAGAGACAGGCAGATCTCTGAGTTGAAGGCCAGCCTGGTCTATGTAGTGAGTTCTAGGACATTCAGAACTGTTACACAAAGAAACTCCATCTTGAAAAACCAACAACAACAATAATTATTATATATAATAATTTACCCACATATCATCATATACTGTAAAACAATATCTAGATTATTTATAGTGTCAAATACAATGAAAGTACAAGATTACAGTAGTTATACTGTACTTGTTAGGGCATAAAGATAAGGAAAAAAGTTGTGCATACTCAATACAAACCCCAGTTTTTCTTAAATATTTTAAATCTGCCATTGGCAGAATCAGTGTTCTCAGAACACTTAAATATGGAGGGCTTACTAGATAACCCAGGATGTCCAGAACATTGCCATTTCAATTCAATAGAATCAACTAATCAAAATATTTTACTGTGTTTTCACTAAATCTTTTTTTCAAAGACAGGGTCTTACTAGCTCTACATTAGTTTCCCTACTGTTGGCATTACATTTTGGCACCATACCTAGACCTTTACTAATTTTGAAATCTCAGGTCAACTTCAGATCCCTAATATATTTAATTCAGACCACTCATATGTCAAACACTCCATAACTTCCTAAGGCTATTGGCTATATTAATCAGTACAACTACAGAACATATGAATCTCTTTTATTGAAAACACAAATATCTGTGCATACCTGACAATGGCCTCAAATTTGAAATGGTCACTAAAGAGATTCCTGTCAAAACTTGCAGAGACAGTTTCTCCTTGAGAGAAAGCCTAAGAGAAAATATAACACTATCACTGAATTAAATATCTCTGGGGCTTTTATGAAGGGCTGGTCTGGGAGCACAATGACTTGAATTTCTACTATTTACTTGAATTAATGCTTGTTTGGTTTTTTGTAAGCTACCTCAATTCCTTCTTAGAATGAAACATAAAATGAATAGATTCATAGCTTCCACAGAGAAAGATTGTTACTTTCTGTATGAGGACCAAACTGCCATTACAAATATTATTTTATTTAATAAATATTCATTTATTAAATGACCTTCTCACAGAAGGTCATTAATAGTAAAGACTTGGTATTCAATATTAGAAAATGTTTTGTTTTAATTCCTACTATGTTTACTGGTTTGTCCTTACTGTTAAGTATACTTGTTCAAGTATAATCACTGTATTTCTTCTAAGTTATATACTCCAATATGATTGCATTAATAAAAATTACAAAGTTATAATAAAAGACAAATAAATGCAGTTATATATTTATGTTTCCAACTCAAAAGCTTTATGACTTTAAAAACCAAGGTTGCAAACCATTATCAGGTAGAATTCAGACAACTTCAAGAAAGGAAAAAAAAAAGACAATGAAACATCTACAAAGACTAATGCTAAAAACTGACGTATAAAATAGGACATGATGTTAGCACAAAGCTGTAATCCTAGGAGTCAGGACAGCAGGTTGGAAAATTAAAGACACCTGAACTACATATGAAGACCCAGCTTTGTTTCAAAAACCCAAACAAAGCAAAACAGGAAAAGAAAAGCCCAAGACTACCAACTGAATTACTGTGAGATTGAGATAAAGCATTGTACCTTAAATTTCTTTTCCGAAACAGCACACGCCTTAGAGTTGAATGACACAATGAAAAATCGGTTTCCTTTACCTGAATCTAGAATTTGAATTGAACAAGGATCTAGAAATGGAAGCTGGCATACTCTTACAGGAATGCCATCTTGGAACAAAACGAGCTGATTTTTTCGTGTAAGGGCAATCAGAGACATTCTTAACTTGTTGTCGACCATTTCAGCTGCACAGACATGCACATGAGTTACTACACTACTGTAAGCAAGAGGAATAAGATAACTATTGCTTAATATTTCTTGAGTTGTCAGAGCATATGCACAAAAGTTGGAATTGGAAAATTCATAATCTGATTCTGAAAGCTTGTGGATACATTTAGCCTCTGGAGGTTCTGGTAGCCCCAAAAATATTAAACCAAAATTTTCTACCTCACCTACCCACTCAATAGAGGAAAGATTAACTGATATATCAGTAACTTTCCCAATTTGGGAAGAGATATAGAAGAATTTGTTGAGATATTTCCAAAAAAGTGTAGGACCATCAAAGATCTTCAAGCTCTCATCCAATGCATGGTTGAGTTGGAAACTCAAATACTTTTCAAATTTGTTCGAATTGTGAAGAAACAATATATAATATTTGAAAGCTCTACTATTATATTTTGCATCTTGTATCAAAATGCAAGGGAGGTTAATTCTAGTTCTGAAGTCTGACACACATTTACAACAAAGAATTTTTAAATGAGAAGTTTTCTCCTTAATGTTTAAAAAATCCTTGGATATCAAAACAAATGTTCCTGTTTTTCTGTCAAATACCATCCTTTTGACATATAATACAGAAGTATCTGTAGACATTTCAAACTCTCCTTTGGACAAATGAAAAACAAGTATTTCCCCATTATAACATAAGCATTTTGCTTGCTCATCAAATGGTATTGCTTGGCTGTCAGCCATTCTAATACATCAAGTCTCTGTGTTGATCCAATTCCAGATGCAAATGGATTACAGTGGAGGCCTTTAATCCTAAGGGGGAAAAAGGGAGAAAGACTAAATGGAACAGGCAGTGTAGAAAACATATTTTGTTAGAAAATTATCACACACATTTCATTTTAAGTAAACATATTAAAACTTTTATACAATTGTGACAACATTTTGTGGAGAAGGCCTTGTTTTATAATATACCTTTGCTGTCCTAATAATTCCTCTGCCTCTATCTCTGGAGTGCTGAGATTATAGGTGTGTGTCATGCTCTGGGTGACAATGCCATAGTTACTCAAACAATTGTAAGACTGTGGATAACTAAGTCAGAAAAGATATCTGCATGTGCTACAGCACAGCAAGCTTTATTTAGATGTTCTATTAAAAGTACCTCCCATCAGGAGAGTAAAGGTGCTAGCTGCACAAGGCTGAACAAACTGGAGGACTAGACTTCAGGAAGTGAAAAGCAGTCTGATATAGTAGTATACCTGGTAATCCCAGCATTCCTTTGGTGAGGTGGGAAGCAGAGACAGAAGAACCTCCTGAAAGCCCACAAGCCATCTAAGCCTGGAATGTGCAAAGCAGCAGCAGCAATAGCTAGACTCTGTTTAAGGAGGGTACAAGGTAAGAAGCAACTCCAGAAAAACTGTCCTCTGACATTCATATGTATACCATAGCCACCACCACACACACACACACACACACACACATACAGAGCATACCCCAAATTTAAGTTAAAAGTACTTGGAGGCTAGAGATAGTTGACTATATCTATAATCCCAGCACTCTTGAGATCAGGAAGATGGTAAGCCCCAAGCCAGCCTGGACTGGAGAGAACCAGAGAGCACTGAAAAATGACTTCAGATATTTTTCTGACTCAGGCAACTTTTCTGACCATCTACTAATCTCATCTGGGTTTATATTAGCATCTTTACAATGAGATTCAGTTAATCAATGTTCTACTTGTCTTGAAACTCAGACTTTCCTAAATATGTTGATTGCTAAATTAGGTTGCTCCCCAAAACCAAGGCACTTGGGCCCTTGCTTCCTAAAGACAAAGATTATACATGCTACATGGTGAAAACTCTTAAAATAATGCTTACAAATATCTACAGAAAAAGGCAGACATACTTCTTATTTCACAATACATCTTTATGAGCCGAGGAAAACTATTATTCAAAATAGGGGGAATTGAGGGTGAATACAACTAACTATAATGTACTGAAGAATTAAGTAATTGTGATCAATCACTTGTGCTTATTATCTCTGTCCATTACAATCCATGCACTGTATTATTTCAGGTTTATAACTATTCTCTCAAAATAAACATTCTTACCCTTCCTTTCTGTAAATCCAGACCCCTTCTTTAACAAAAGTGAACCGTCCAAGGTTGAAGCATTAATCTGTGCTTATAATACTAATCAGCAATGTTGCCAGATTTAGACAAGAGTCACTTTACCTTTGAGTCAACCCTGTTAATCATATCACCATGCCATGAGTTTCCCCATTAAGAACAAACTGCCTATAGGAAGGCAGTGTGAGAGGATGAGTAAACTAGATGTAATCAATGGAAAATGTGCTAAATTCAATAGACATAAAATTGTTGTTCTCTCTTGTTTTGGTGGCTATCCATACAGAGTCACACTTTTAAGTGACTACAACACATGGAATGAATTAAAAATACAGAAATCCCAGAATGGCACTGCTGTATTTTGAATGACAGTATTGAAATATGTGAATGAGGAACAAAGTTCATGATTAGGGGATAATTAATAAGTAATTTGTGGAAGAGAGAGCTGACTATAGAATTTAACATGAAAATAAGTTGAAATGTGTATCTTTGGTATTTGCATTTCTGACCTGACCCCAGAGAAATAGAGCCACAGATGGCAAGATACTATTCCTCTAAAGTATATGTTGCACTACTATTTGTAACATAAAAATTACAAATTTGAATGATTAGCAGTAGGAAAATAAATAGATGGAACATCACACTAGAGTTAAAAAGCATGTATTGAATATCATGATGGCTAAATTTTAATACAGACTATGGGGAGTAGAGTCTTAAGGAGCTTTTTGCTACTCAAATATTTTTATGAATGTTTTCAAACAAGTTTTAAACAATGTCTTCAATTCTTCCCATAAAAATGTATATATAACTCGATATGGGCAAAGGTGCTAAGTGCCTTATTATGGTGAACAAATGAGGGATTTATGAGGGAAGAGTTGGGTTTTCTTTTTTGGTGGAGGGGAAGAGCTGCTAGGGATTGAACATCAGGCCTGCATTCCAATATGCACCATGCCACTGAGCTATAGCCCCAGCACCTAGGGGAATAATATATACACAATTCTGACAAGTAGTTTTCAGTATCTATTATTTTTAAGAAAGGCAGTATTGTTATGTTCTACTAAACCACCAAAGCTAAAGTTAGTGCCAGTGCTTTATAAATCTAAGCTTTTATCAGCCTTGGCAACATTTGCATTTTGCCCTGAATAAGGATGGTGACTTGTCCTGCAAGTTTGGCAGCATCCTGGCTTGTACCCATTGGAAATCAGATACACTCCCATTCCCAAGGTGGGACAACCATAAATGTCACTTACATGGCAGACATAAGAGCCCTCCTTAAGAACAAACACCTCAATATAACACCTTTCCTCTAAACTTTCTCTTTATGTTGTTGCTTTTGTTTTTGGAGACAGGGTTTCTCTGTGTGTAGCCCTGGCTGTCCTGGAACTCGCTCTGTACACCAGCCTGACCTCAAACACAGATATCTGCCTGCCTCTACTTTCAGAGTGCTGGGATTAAAGGTGTGCGCCGCCACCGCCCGGCCTCTTTTAACTTACTATAACCACTTGAACTCAGAGTTCAAAAACATTTGCCCTGTAAGCATCTCACACTCCACAGCCAAGAATGGTGGGTACACCTGTAATCTCCATCAGAGAGCTAGCAACAGGAGCGTGTCTGGGAGTTGAGTCCAACCTGGGCTATGGACCAAGTTTCAAGCCTGTCAGTACTATAATACGAGACACTACAACAAAAAGTCTTAACAGAAATAATCGACGAATATAGAGAACACTCACAATCCACATTATCCGCGACGGGTCAGGAGATAAAAAACAGTTCTCCAAGGCAGCCAAATCGCCAAGTTCCAGAAGCGCCAAATAACTCCAAACCTCCCGCCCGCGCATTGCACGCTGGGACAGCGGGCCCAATAGCTGAGTGAAAAAGCGGGGAAGGCAGATCCAGGCGGTTGCTAGGGGAGACCTGAGAGGGCGGGCCTCCCGCGTGCTGGAAGCGAATGATCTGCAGAGCTGTCAGAGGCTGTGCTTCAGGGGAGTGCTCCAGACGGCTGGGGGCGGGACAACAGTGCCAGGAGGACGTCGGAGGGCGGGGTTTCTCCTCAGAGAAGCAAGTGGGAGCCCAGCAGAGCACTTATTCCCGCCTCTACCCCGGACGCCAGTATGGGATTGGACAGTTCGGAGACACTTCCTTCTACCTTCCGGTGTCACGCGACCGCCTCCTCCTCCCTCCCTCCCTTCTTGGTCTACCTTTGGGCTGGGCTGGCTGGTGATGAGATACTTGGCTGCCGGCTGTAAAACTGGTGACGGCTACTACAATCAAGTCCACGACTGTGACCATGGCCGAGGTGAGCAGCACAGTACCACTTCTGGGTTCCTGGACCGGGAAGCTGTCTTCCAGGCCCAGGGCCCCTGCGCTCCGTTTCAGGTGCGCTGTGCAGAGAGTGATCTGAGTTAAAGACCTACTAAGGTTCTGTTGTGTCTCCCATCCAGAATAACGTTCAGAATAAAGCCAAGCTCATCTCTGAGACCCGGCGGAGATTCGAAGCTGAGTATGTGACAGGTGAGCATGTATTCTAGGGGTTGAAGCGGGATGTGCGGTGAGCATGTCCAACTTTTGCTGCGGTGTTTGTGGGTGTTTTTGCTGGCAGATGTTAAGAACTTTTCAAACCTCAAGGGTAAAATGCTGTACCTCTTTCAGGGGTTTGCCATACTCTGTGCACTGCTTCAGTTGGGCAGATGGTGTGCTGGCTCCTTCCTTTAAAAGGTTAATGTAAGTTAGAAATATGTCTAGGATCTCATGTTCATGGGCCTGGCGGGCTATTTGATCAATGACATAAATGACACATAAATGACACAGTGCAGTTCATGGTTTCTGTGCATGGCTTTCACCAGAAAATGAACCTGGAAGCTGTCATTGTACTTTTGCTATATTGTTTGTAAGTAATTTGGCAACCCAGTTCCTTTTATTTTGCTTAATTCCGCTTCTTAAAACCAAAAGTGCTACTCACAAGTTCTTACCACACTCTGTATTAGAAAGTTTCTGTAAGTGTAGAATTGATTTATTGATTGAATATTCAATGTCTCAATGGCATAGATACTTGTCATGTATTTACTAATCAGTATTTTTTAATTTATGTAATTTTAATTTATGTATTTTATTTAATTTATGTAATTTATATAAGATTTAAATGCTCAAGTTGCTGTCTGCCTTGATTGATGCTAGTCTAGGCCCTTCCACTAAATAGTTTACTTACATGTTCTGAGTTCCTGTTTCCACATTAGTGAAACATACATAAAGTTAAAGGATTAAGTGAAGAAACATATATCAGATCATTAAGCATGGAAGTAAAAACTACTAGGTTGTCGATATAGATTTTGCCTCAATCATTTGGTTACAGTGGAAGGAAGTAAACTTTTGTATTTTGATTTTCGTGCTTACCAGAATATCCCTATACACTTACACTGTTCAGTTTTGTACACCAGTTGATGAACAAATAAGGAAACATGTTCCAAATAGCCTGGTCAGTAAATCTTTTCATACCTCCTTGACAATTTTATTCATGCATCAAACTTTATACCAGAGAGTTGCAAAAGCACTCCATTTACTTTTATCACAGGCATCTCACTCATGTCTATTATCATATCTCGTTATAGTAAGGAGATAATTCTAAAACAACTTTTTATATGAAAATAATCATTTACAGTATGTTAAGACATAATTCATAACTAATGAGTTG